TGTTCCACTGGTGAGTCAACAAAAAACATCACGAGGAAAATTAAAACCCGGTCCTTCTTCAGAGACTTGTTTTAACCAAGAGGTAATTCAGGATTCAGTGCAAATTGTAGGAAAATTAAATGCTCAAAACTCAAAAACAATGGTTGGAGCTGGAATCTAATCACAAGTATACTATAGTTTTCTTCTGAAACATTGTTTTTCTCTCTGCAGTCCCCCGTTTCTAACAAAGATAAATCTTACTAGGACCAATTTACTTGCAAAATACGTTTTAGTCTTATTATACTTGGCCTGATGATTTGCATAAAGCTCAGCAAGAATAGTGATGGGCCCATCTAGGCTCTTTTTAAGTTGGCTTTGCAGGAACTTTTTCCCAAGGAATTTCGGATTAAGCTTTTAAAAACCTTGCAAAACTCAGAAGCCAAGCCAAGGATTCAGCATCAGATTGTGGCTGTAATACCTGTACAAACTGGGTGAATTTATCTCTTCTAAAGTCCCAAAATATTTTGAGTTTCCTGGGCTTGATAGAAAGTGACATTCTTTACTGACCTCAAGGTCAGGAACCTTGTAAGGAAACTGTGTATACAAAGTACCAGGTTATTCTTTCCAAGGGGCTTTTTATCGGCTCTATAGAGTCAGCATCAATTCCCCAGAGCAGTCTGGTCATATCTGAGAATATATTATTTTAACAAAAGCCTTGGTAAAATTACCAGTGTGTCCTGTTACAAAAGAAAACATATGCTTATTGAACTTATGCAGATAACTATATATTGCCATAAAATAAGAATACTCACAAATAGTCTCCAAATTTTGGAGAAATCAGATAGAGAGAAAGGCAGATGTTTCAATTTTGCTCACAAAAGTATGTTGTACCCAATTGCTGTAAGCTCCAACTAGCTGAAAAAGAAAAAATAAGTTTTCTCGACTCTGGGAAGCAGAATATATTAATAAAAAGGGTCAGCAATGTTGCAAACAAAAAAAGTCATAAAAATCATTTCAGTCCTCTGTCACTTCAATCCCATGCAATTAATCTTTGTTCTGCTTGATGCTGGGTTAGCAATCTTCATGAATGCCTCTGTTTTATTAGAGTTCTGGAAGTTTTTACTTAGTCCAAAGTATGATTTTTAAAGTTTTCAGAAATCTGTACTCAAGAGCACTTGTCAGGGTCCTTTTCCATGAATTTCCTTGAAAAAGCAGGAAAGTTTGGACTGCAGCTCATTATAAACCACTTTCCAAGAAGAATCAAAATAAAACAATAATTGTCTGTGGATGACAAAAGGCTTAGAGTAGCCATGGTTAAAGACACAGTTGAGAAGGAAATTATATCTGTGGCATATAGCAATATAACATAATAATCATAATTATTACTGATAACATATCAAGACATCAGAATTTTGGGAATCTCATATTTTTGGAACACATTATTAACACATTTATATAAATATAACTCAAAGAAAATTAAACTATTTCTCATTTGACAATACTTCTGATATGATTTTAGCACACATTAAGCCTAACTTCCAGGGGCCCTAATGTCCAGAAAGTTAGTTTGAGGTCAAAAAGACTGAATTTGGAATTTGGTTTTATAAATGTGTAAAGGTTTAAAACACTTGATATTAAATTAAGAAAGAGCCAGGTGCCCACGTGTGGTGGTACACGCCTGTAGTCCCAGCTACTTGGGAGGCTGAGGTGGGAGGATCACTTGAGCCCAGGAGTTCAGGACAAGCCTGGGTAGGTAACATAATAAGATCCCTTCTCTAAAAAATAAAATAAAATAAAATAGGTCAGGTGCACCTGCTCAAGCCTGTAATCCTAGCAATCTGAGAGGCTGAATTGAGAGGATGGCTTGAGGCCAGGAGTTCAAGACCAGCCTGAGCAAGAGTGAGACCCAGTCACCCTGTCTCTACAAAAATTAGAAAAAAAATTAGCCCTGCATGGTGGTGCATGCCTGACTCCCAGCTGCTTAGGAGGCTGAGGCAGTAGAATTACTGGATCCCAGGAGTTTGAGATTTGCAGTAAGCTATGATGACGACACTGTACTCTAGCCTGGGTGACAGAGTAAGACTCTGTCTCATAAATAAATAAATACATTCATTAAATAAGAAGGATTTAAAGCACATGATCAAAATAGAATCACAGGTCACTGAACAATGTTAGTTATTCCTTTAGCCAAATTTCAAAGATTTCAAAAAGTAAAAACTTTTACTCTTTGCTAGAGTGTAGTCTCAGCTTCCCAATGAACAGATCTAATAAAGACAGGTGAGGCAAACTCTCCCCTCCCCTCTTTTATGGCAGTTTACTCAAAAGGTAAACAAATCTTTTACTGTCTCTCATTGATACAGCATGATATTCTTGTTCAAACAAGAAAGCCCAATTTTACTTTTATATTAGTGTCTTATCAAGACACTAAAGCTAATTTTAATAAAACTGTTTAAACAAATCCATCCAATCTCAGTCAGCTTTGACTACACAAGATAAGACCTCCATAAGCCTTGTATAACCTCTTCCAGTTTTCTATTAAAGAGCAGATCGATGCTTCGAGAAAACCCTGTTCTGACACAGGGAGCCAGACTTTGGCCTCGCCTCAGTGTGCTTTGGATATTAATGTTCAAGTTTTAGAAAGACTTACAAATAATTCCCTTCAAATTTTAGCTAACCTGATCACACATAAAATTCCTTTCATGAGATTAATCTTCCACAAACCTTCTACCACTTGCTAGTTTCTATTTTTCTGGTAAAATATTTGGTTTAAGCGCCTTTTTTGGAGCCAATTATTTAGAGCTTTTTAATATTTTGATTGTGAAATGTCACATACACACGACACACAACACACAGAAGGAGATTTTACAGCTTTCTAAGGTTCTCCATTTGCCAGTTTTCAAATACTTTCTCCCCATTTAGAGCATCAAGCCCTGAGCAGCTGTTAGCTGGGCAGCCCTAAATTTGCACTTCCAAACATCTGACACTGCCCTCCCCTCCTGAGGGACCCATGACGCTCCGTTCTTTTCCATGGGAGTAAGTGGAAGGAAGAAGTGTGGACTTTAGTTTATTGGGTGCATCTGTGGCTTTATATCCATATAAAATCTCCATAGTAACCCATAAGATGGAAGTCACCATTTGACACAGGGAAACCGGCTCGGAGACAAGTGGCCTGCCCAAGGTCACGTGGCTAGTGGGAGGCAGAGCTAGACTGGAGCCCAGGTCTACCCTGGTCCTGCTTTTCTTCATTTGGTTCAGGGAAAGGCGGGCAAGGGTGTGGAGGGGTGGGATGGAGTGGGGGAGGAGGGGGAGGTCCCACGTGCTCACTTGGCCCATCAGGGTGTTGCGTGGCCTAATCTCTCTTTCTGCTCTTCCTTCTGTCCATTGCTCTGCCCATCGCCTCTTGAGCCTCTTTTGGGTCTCCATCAGAGGTTGCCTCCTCAGAGAGGCCCTCCCTGATTGCTCTTCCCCTTAGTCACTCATCTTCAGAGTCACCATGTGTCATTATTGTGCTTATTTCCCGGCTGTGGCAGCACTGGAGGTCAGCAGGTGCAGCCGGGGCCTTGCTGTCTTGGTCACTGCTGCGTCTCCAGGGCCTTAGAGGGCGTCAGAGATGCAGTAGGTCCCCGGTCACCCTTGTAGAATGAGCAGAGGGCCTGCCCCCAGGGCCCCCGATTTTGTGTCCTTCCTCTAGCCTCCCAGGCTGGGTCTTTGAGCCCCCAGTTTCCTCTGGGCCCGCTCAGGCCATTCTGTTCTCCTGGGGGGCACAAACAAGCTCGCAGAACACCAGCGTCAGACTGCGTCACTCTTGAGACCCTGATAAGATGAGACAGGGTGAGCCCCTTTCATAATTTTGTCTATGCACAGACAAAAAGCAAGGTCGCTGTGCCACCCGCAAAGTACCAGATACCCCTTCTCTGGCTGAAGGAGGAATTGGTACTTTTTGCTGGGTCACACGATCGCCCCACTTCCAGACAGCATCCAATCCGGGGCAAACTCCAGCGCCTTTACCCTCCCCAACTCACCCGGCCAAAGCCCAGCCCTGTAATAGGGTTTGTCCGACAGCATCCTGCCGGGAGACGATATCTGGGTTTCTCTGGGCTCAATTAGACAGATTTCTGTTAATCTTGATCTCAAACTAGTCATTCTCCTAGGACCCAAATGACCTGTTTCTCTAAAGGGGCGACTGTGGATGTCCATCCTATGCCACGGTGGGCGGGAGGATGTGCCCTGTAGGCATTAGGTAGTCTTTGTCATCGTCACTGTCCTCGTTTACAGAGGGGGAAACTGAGGCCTGGAGGGGAAGTCCCACAACTGGGAGGTGGCAGAGCTGGGGCTCTGAGCCGCCTGCCCTCCCACCTTGAGAACCCCAGATGTGGTAGTGGGTGGTGGGCCCTAGTCAGCGTGATCACAAGATTCAAGCAAAGGGATCTTGAAACTCAGGACCCTGGAGTCAGACGCTGAGCCCGCGGGCTGCCGCCCCCGTTGCTGTGAGCGAGCTCAGGGCAGTCTTCCAAGTTCACGATCCACGTCTCGGACATTCTTGCCCACCCGGAGCTCCCGGCGCTTTGTGCCAAGGGACTCTCAGCGGGTTCCCATGCGGAGGAGACTGGGCTCTGGAATGTGCTGCCTAGACAAAGAAGCAGCTGGGGTCTGTTTGGGACGAAGGCTGCACCGTGGGGAAAGGGAGGGAGCGTCACCCTCTGCGTGTGCGAAATCCCAACACTCAAACGCGGTTTTGCATCTGTGCGCTTCAACTTCAAACAGCCGTGTGAGCCCGGCGGTTGTTCTCACTTAACAGAGGTATAAACGGGCTAAGAGGAGGCGAGTCACAGGCCCAAGGACGCGGTGGCATGCCTGGGACTTGAACTTGGGGCTTTGGACCCAAGGCCAGATTTTGCCCCCAGCTCTATAGCTGCTTTGGATTTGAGGCTCTGAGCCCCTGTGGGAGACGGAGGGGCTGGGGCCCCGCAGTTGGTGGCCGCCACTGACCAGTCTGCTCTGTTCCCTGCCCTTGTGCCCAGGCTGCGGTGGAAGCACACCTCCTCCCTGAAGGTGGCCAACGAACCCATCTTAGCATTCGCGCAGGGCAGCCCCGAGCGAGACGCCCTGCAAAAGGTAACAGGAGGGTGGGGCACCCATAGGTGCAGGGCACGGAGCGGAGACAGCCCCCAGCAGTGCCCAGGACGGCTCTCCGGGCCTGTGGCCAGCACCCGCTTCTGCACCCGCTCCCAGCCTGGGGAGGACAGGGGGGGTCTGGGGAAGGCTGTGGGACGGGAGGGTGGGAGCAGCTGGGAGCAGCAGGGTGGCGGCCTGGGGCCACTGAGGGGCTTCTCAGGCCAGGTCAGAGGTCATAAGCCCAGATGTTTTATACTTAAAAGCGTTTTGCAATTAATTGCCAGTATTTTAAAGCTTGTGAGATTTCACATACATTTCCGATGCAGAGTTTTATCTGTTGGTACTAAGTAGGCCTGGGGACACGGGCCTCGCCTTCCTGCAGGGTGACAGTGGCTGGTGCCAGTTCTGCTGCCCCCAGGGAAGCACACGCTCTCTGTGACCGCAGGCCTGGCCCCATCCGTCTGCTGACTCCTCAGGGGCTTGGGCGGGAGGAATAGAGGAAGTGCCCGTCCACATTCTTGTCCCTCTCCCAGGCCTTGAAGGACTTGAAGGGCCGGACGGAAGCCATCCCGTGCGTGGTGGGGGATGAGGAGGTGTGGACGTCGGACGTGCAGTACCAGGTGTCGGTACGTCCAGTGGGCGGGCGGGGTTCGGCCCCTCCCCTGAATCTGCCGTCTGCCCCCCACCCCCCAGCTCGTAAGCACATGACGTGTGGGCTCTGACTTCAGGGGCTTTACAGTGCTCTCTGCATTTGAATTTTGTGGCCAGTAAAACTTCCAAAAGCCAAGGGCCATCCCCACACTGCACCTGCTCACTCCATGACCGAGTCCTGTCCACAGGCAAGGAGGACCATGAAGGCCAGGTCTGGAAGCTCTCGCCAGTCATCGCAGCACTTTGGGAGGCTGTGGTGAGAGGATCGCTTGAGGCCAGGAGTTTGAGACCAGCCTGGGCAACATAGCAAGACCCTGTCTCTAAAAAAAATAAAAAATTAGTCTGGCATGATGATGTGCACCTGTAGTTCCAGCTACTCTGAAGGCTCAGGCAGGAGGATCACTTGAGCCCAGGAGGTCGAGGCTGCAGTGAGCTATGATGGTGCCACTGCACTCCAGCCTGGGCAACAGGGCGAGACCCTTGTTTCCAAAAAAAAAAAAAAAAGGCCATGAAGAATCTACATGGTCTCTTCTGTTATTCCTGATGGATTTCTCCACAAGGGTCTTTAGAAACTACTGGCAGAAAGCTGGTCCCTAAGCCCATGCTCCTCAGATGGCATTGGGCTAGTATCCCCCTTCTTGGAATTTATCTGTCCAGAAACTTGCACACACTTTAGGTGGGCAAGGAAACTCATGGGTCTGTAATTTGGGGGAGGGTAAAGCATTTTGCAAACAGGGTCAGTGCATTCTGGCTCTGTCCAGGTGGAACCCTGGGCAGGTGTGTGCGGGGGAGGGGTGGACAAGGCGGGAGGACCCAGGCTCCCACTCTGAGGGTTCCAAGGACAGTGGGCAGGAGCTGTCCACAGAGATATCCTGGAGCCCCTGCCACTGGGCCATTACTGAGCCACAGACTCATGCTGGGCTGGGTTTGGAAGGATTTTCATCTGTGATCCTGTTTGGTCCTCCATGCTAGGAGAGGGGTGGGGGAGACTTGGGGAGGGAAGGGACCTTACACTGGGCCCCACAGTTAGTAGGTGGCAGAGCCGGGATTCAAACCTGTGTCTGCCTGACTGCAAAAGTCCATGCTTTCCTTGAAAGACCCTGTGGTTTATGCCTTTCTCCTGGACCATGAACCTTCCAGAACAGGAGCCACACCTCACTCATTGCACAGGGGGTGCTCCATAACCCTCAGGGAGGAGAAGTCAGTGTGGACCAGCGTCTGGAAATGGCTTCCTGGGCAGTGAGGGAGAGAGTGGGCGGGCCCGGACTCTGCTGAAAGCAAGCTGTTGGCCCAGCCCCCTCCCCACCTGTCCTGGCGCCTCTCTGTTGAGCAGTGACCTCACCCTTCTCTTCTTTTAGCCCTTTAACCATGGACACAAGGTGGCCAAGTTCTGTTATGCAGACAAGGTGAGTCCTGGTGACCTTGGGGTTGGGGTAGCTGCCCTGCCCTGCCAGCTGCTGATGTGGGCTGGGAGTCAGTCACTGCTTCCTTCTTTGGTCATGGGCAGGGGGCGGCTGGCACAGAGGAAGTCCCTGGGCGATGTCTCTGACAGGCCCAGGCATGCAGAGGTTAGCTGGCGCCAAATGAGAGCTGCCTGGGCAGGGGCTGAGACATCCCTGGACGTGCCTGTTGCAGTGGGGCAGGCCTGGGATTGGGGAGGAAGTAGATTCTGGAAGGCTGAGTCAGGGCAACTGGAGACATCGTAGATGGAAGGCGGGACAGGGATTTGGCATCAGGGCAGGTGTGGTGGGGGGGTGACCCATGGCCGGGGGCCTAGGAGCTGGTGTCGTGCAGCGATGAGTGCAGCTGGTATCAGGGAAGCCAGCCGCAGGTGTACATCTCAGACTGCAATTCTGACCCCCAGGGCTGGAGGCTCTGGCCGGTGGGTTCAGGAGCACCAGGTCCTAAGAATGAAGTGAGGCCTTGATTAGACCAGGAGAGAAAGGGAAGCCAGTTTAACAGCTGAGGGCCTCGGGAGCCAGGCTTCTTCCCCGGGAGCAAGGTGGCCTTCCAGACCTGTCCCTTGCCTACTACCCCAGGGCCCTTCCTGCTGTAGGAGGCAGCCCCCAACCGTTCCCTCTCTCCTTAGGGCCTGCTCAACAAAGCCATCGAGGCCGCCTTGGCCGCCAGGAAAGAGTGGGACCTGAAGCCTGTCGCAGACCGAGCCCAGATCTTCCTGAAGGCGGCAGACATGCTGAGTGGGCCACGCAGGGCTGAGGTCCTCGCCAAGACCATGGTGGGACAGGTGAGGTGTCCATGGGCCCAGGTGGGGCCGGGCGGGAGGCAGTTGTGCCCATCCATGTCAGTGGACACCAGCTGAACAGCTTCTGGGTGCCCCGCCCATGGGAGACCCAGAGATGTCCTCGAGGGACAAGACCTAGGAGCCAGGATGGATTAACATAAATTATTAGACAAGGCAGATTGTGCTGAGCCTGTGTGTGCTACCGTGGAAATGTCCCCTCCCTCCGTCTCCTCCATCCTGGCTCCTAGCCCTTTGTCACTCTTTGCCTGGCTGGCAGTGCCTCACCCTCCCTGCTGGGTAAAGACCCCACCATACCTGCCGCAGGTCACCCCTGGCTTGCGAACCCCCAAGACCTCTCCATCACCAAGAGCAAGTGCCAAGTTCTGAGCCCCGTACTTAGGGCCCCTGTGTCCGGCTCGCCAGCTGTTCTGCCCTTCCCTGCCAGGCCATCCTGCCCATGTTGTAGCCCGTTTGGACTTAGCAAGGCTCTCGGGACACTACCGTGTCCTCTCTCTCTGCCTCTGTCCACAGTATTCCCTGCCAGGAGTGCTTGCTCTCTTCTCTGCCCAGTGAACTCTTTCCTCCTGGCCCAGCCCAGATATCACCTCCTCCATGAGGCTTCCCGAACCTTCTCCATCTGGAAGGACTAGACCCGCTGCTGTTCCCCCATAGCTTGTTGTTCCTTCGTCAGTTACAGCTCTGGTTGCATTGGGGCATATCGAGTTCCTTATGTGTTCACTGCCCCGTGACAAGCTTTTTGGGCATAGCAATCGTGCTTGACACAATGTCTTCAAGGAGTCGTAGCAAGCTCCTGGTGAACGGTTCTTGAGTGGGTGCACGCTGAGCAAGGAATGGCTATGGCAGGCAGAGTGTGCTGGGGTGGGAGCCGGGGGAGAACAGGTTAATTTTCCCACCTCCAGGCTGCCAGCTAACCTGGGTTCCTGAAGGGTAAGTCACAGAAGCCAAAACCCAGGCTGCCTGTTGGCTCAGCACGTTGCTCCTGGGAGCTCACCTGTCCCCGTGGTGAGGGCTCCCCCTGCTGCCCAGGGCGGGCATGACGGCCCCACACCTGTCTGCCTCCTTTGGTCCCCTCAGGGGGGTGTGTCGGGCCCCAGGTGTTGCACAGTGGCAAGAAGGAAGACACTCACACACACACACACACACACACACACTCTCTCTCTCTCCACCCTCCCCACCCCCCAGAGATCAGATTAGTTTCCTCTGTATTTAGCGTAAGATTCAGGAGCTTCTAGGAGGTGCGGCTCCATCCGAGCTCAGCTTCCTCCGCTGTGCGCCTGCCACTGTCCTTGCACGCCAAGGAGGGGCCGCTGTGGTCTGGAAAAGCCCCGTCCTTGCTGCCCGGAGTCCTTTCCCCTCGGCTCACGTTGGGCCAGGAAGAGGGGACATGTCGTGTAAGGGAATTGCAGTCACCAGCCCTGGGCCTTGGCCCAGACTAGCCAGCGACCCATGCTCAACCCCAGGGAGGGGCCGTCGCGCCCTGCACACGGCGTCTCTGCCTGGGTGTCGCGCCCGTGCGCCCTTCTGCCTGGAGGCTCCCATCCTGGATTCGGCCTGAGGATCTTGATCCCAGACCACTCCCCGGTGCCCCCGTTCAGAGTTGCTGTGAAACTGGGACGGGGCGTCTGAAACGCCCAGCCGGTGGCGGGGGTCAGTAAACGTCAGTGATCCCAATCCAGCCCGTGGGGCCCCAGGCCGCCTGCAAGGTGGCGGTCAGGGTCTGGAGACACGGTCCGTTCCCCCCAGCGGCCGGACGGGCCGGTCAGCCCTTTGAAGGTCTCTCCGGCCGGCTGGGGCCCAGCGGTGGGATGGGGGAAGAGGCTGGTGGGCGGCTGTCCACCGCCCCGACCCATCCGCCCTCCTCGCAGGGCAAGACGGTGATCCAGGCGGAGATCGACGCCGCGGCCGAGCTCATCGACTTCTTCCGGTTCAACGCCAAGTTTGCCGTGGAGCTGGAGGGGGAGCAGCCGGTCAGCGTGCCGCCCAGCACCAACAGGGTCGTGTACCGCGGGCTGGAGGTACCCGCGGGCGGTGGCGGCGGGCGGGCGGGGTGCCGGACAGCTCCGCTTGGTCTCACCCCCCCTCCCTCCCCAGGGCTTTGTGGCGGCCATCTCCCCCTTCAACTTCACCGCGATTGGCGGCAACCTGGCGGGCGCGCCGGCCCTGATGGTGAGCTTTGGGCGCAGCAGGTGGGGACGGTGACAGCTCGCTATCCTCTTTGTCCCCACAGACAGAGGCCGCCCTGAGCCCCTCCGTCCCCGGGCTGCTCGCAGGGAGAAGCACAGGAGGTGGAGGCAGCCCGGGGCTGGGGACCTGGGGGGCCAGAGAGCCGGGTCGGGTCCCAGCTCTGCCCCGATGTCGGGACACCTGGGGAGACCCTGAACTTCGGAGGCGCGGCCTCCTCCTTTGCAAAGTGGAGATAATAGGAAAGCCCCCGTGACAGGTTACTGAGGATCAAACGGGACACATCCGGCAGCAGGCAGGTCTGGCCCAGGGCCAGCTCAGTGTTGGCGACTGTTTATGGTGACAATTACTGCTCACGCTGAGTGCTCACCGCCTGTCTGCTACTGCCAAGCACCGTGGTAGATGATCTCGTTCATTTTCCCATCAGCTCGGAGAGGGACGTCTGTGATTATGCCTTTTGCCACGAGACTGAGCTGAGACAGGTGACTTGCTTGTCAAGGCCGAATGACTAGTGAAAGACGGGACAGAGAAGGACTGTCTCAGGGCTGGTGGTCTCAAAGTCACTGGGCTCCTCTGCCATTGTCAGAGTGGAGGTGGCTGTCCCTGCATGAGGTCCAGCCGGCGGGGGACACCCAGCCCTCAGACAGCCTGGGCAGGACTGGGTCGACACGGGCGTTGGGAGCCCCGGGGCCCAGATAAGGTGGCTGGCTGCTGACGCCCGGTGTGGGCTGGGTACACGCACGGGGACGTCCTCGTGCATCTGTGCACGGACAGATGTGGCACACGCCCAGGCACTGTGTGTGCCGTGACCCAGGACACGTGCAGAGAGGCCCGTGCGCACTTGTCCAGCCACGCCCAGTGACTCCCAGACTCCGAGACCAGACTGCTGGGGCTGATGGCAGGACCAGTCGGTGCAGGCTTCTGGGAAGGGGAGCCTTGGCCAGAGCGTGGGCCAGACGGGGCAAGGGCTTTGGGGGCACAGACGCTTGGAGGAGTGGCGTTGGGTGGGGGACATCCTGGTCGACACGGGGCCTGGTGGTTCAAGGTGAGGGCCGACCCTGCTGTGGGGTGGGGCGGGGTGGGGGTCGGGAGCTGCTGGCCTCGGCCTCATGGGTCCTTGTCACACCTCCCGGGCAGGGCAACGTGGTCCTGTGGAAGCCCAGTGACACTGCCATGCTGGCCAGCTATGCCGTCTACCGGGTCCTCCGGGAGGCCGGGCTGCCCCCCAACATCATCCAGTTTGTGCCGGCTGACGGGCCCACGTTTGGGGACACCATCACCAGCTCAGAGCACCTGTGCGGCATCAACTTCACAGGCAGCGTGCCGTAGGTCCCCGGGCGCGGTGGGTGGGCGGCTAGGGGAGGTTCACAGGCCGGGGCTGCGAGCCCAGGGGTCACGCGCCGACTGTACCCACTTACTGGCTGTGTGGCTGTGGGTAGCCACGTCACCTCTCTGAGCCCCCATATCCTTGCCTTGCAGAGCGATCGCGAGGATTAAACGCGTTAACAGACAGGAAAGGGCTTTGCAGGTGGAGGGGCTGCATGCAGAGGTTGGCCATACCGATTTCAGTGTCACCTCTGCCACCGGGAAGGGCACGGGGGCGCACGGAATGGATTGGAGAGGGAGTCAGAAGGGCTTCTTGGAGGAGGCGGCATCGAAGCAGAGGAGCTGGCCAGGCAAAGGGGAGGGGGCAGGGGAGGAGTGTTCCAGGAGGGGGAACAGCACATGCAGAGGCCTCGAGGCAAAAAACACGCGTGCTCTAGGGCGTGGCGGGGTCCCGTGTGGCTGGGCTGTGAGGTTTGGGGCCACAGGGCAAGAGGGTGAGGGCGAGTGTGGTTGAGATGAGGCAGGGGGCGGCGGCTGCTCTGTTTGCACCTTGGCTCGCTCCCCGGCCGGCGGGTGTCTGCAGGGCCTCGCTGGCCGCTCCATGCCCACGTGAGGCTGTCGTGAGTGAGCAGCAGAGGCGAGGTCCGGGCTTTCGGGGGTGGGGGCAGGGTTTAGCCCAGTGACCGTAAGAGTCTTAGGAGTCTAGGAAGGTGTCTGGACCTTATCCTGAGGGTGACGGGAGCCATGGAAGGTTTTAGGGGGGGAGAGCGGCTGCATCGGAGTTCGGTTTCAGATGCAGATTGCAGATGGTGGCCCTCAGACTGGGCCTGGCACGTGGCTCTGTTTTCTTTGACTCCCAATAGTGGTGGCCTGACCTTGTATAATTGGAGGTGTCTGGGCCTGCAGCTCGGGTCCTCGCAGGTGGCTCCTCACCTGTGCCGGGCTTCAGGCTCTGTGGCCCTCTGCCCTGCCCAGGCGTGCCGGGTGGCGAGGGCAGCGTCGGAATCGCCGAGGAGGGCCCCTTGCCGCAGGCCTGCCTGCCAGGCGCCGGGCCCTGCCTGTTAGCGGGCGGAGCGGGCCTGGCCCATTCACCACGCTCCGATGAGCAGCGCGTAAAGGTGGGAAAGTCATAAATTAGTATTAGCTACTGTGTCGCTGGCTCCCGGGTGATTAGCATTTTTATTGTTTTGTGGTGCGGAGGTTGGTCACACTCGGCCTGGGGAGGAGGAGAGGACCTCCAGGGTGGCAGGGCTTGGGGCGAGGGCCCGAGCTCCCTCTCCCGGGACCTTCCTCGGTTCGGCCTGTCAGGCCAGGGCGCCGGGCTGGGGGTGCAGCCAGTGTGCGTCCCCGTTGGGCACCCTGCAATGCGCTCAGCACGGTCTTAGGCACTTGACTCACATTTGAGCTAATTGCAAACAGCCTTGCCAGGTGGGGATGATTCTCTCCCGTTCCCAGAGAAGGTGCAGAATTTGAGGCTCAGAGAGGTTAAGTGATGAGCCCAAGATCACACAGCCCTGAGCATCTGAGTCAGGGCTGGAGCCAGCACCTCCTGGCTGCAAAGCCTGGACCTTGTCTGTACCATCTTGCCACCCAGCCTCCTTCTGTTCCCTGCCCGGAGGCCTGGATCGCAGCTGCCACCACCCGCTTGGTCCCCCCACCACCACTGTGACCCTATCCACCTCCCGAGGGGCTGCTGCCCGGGCTCTCCTCCCTGGGCTTTTCAACCCCATCCTTCTGGGAGGCCCTGCCCCCACACCCCAGGACCCTTACCCTCCCGGGTGCCCACGCCCAGCCCCCTGATCCCCGCCTTGTCCTCCTCCGGTTCTAGCACCTTCAAACGCCTGTGGAAGCAGGTGGCCCAGAACCTGGACCGGTTCCGCACCTTCCCCCGCCTGGCTGGAGGTAAGGGCCCCTCTCCCTGCCCCTCTTGCCCCGCCGCCCCAGGGACACCGCCACCGGCCATCACGGGAGAGGAGGTGGGGGTGACGCGGCCACAGGTCAGGCGGGTGACGTGTCCCCGGCGCTGGCCCCGTCCAGGAGGACTTCTGGCAGCGATGGCAGCGTCCGTGTCCGCGCCCTCCGGTACAGCAGCCACAGCCGTCGGGCGCTGGGCAAGCGGCCCATGTGACCGAGGAACTGGATACTTAGTTTTCTTTCATTTTAATTAAGTTAAATTTCAGTAGCCATGCGGGGCTGGTGGCGCCTGTGTCAGGTCTCAGCAGAGGAGAGTGAGTGCGGAGGCCAGCCACAAGGTGGGAATGGACTCGTACTCGAAGCGGTGAAACTAGGCCAGTGTCGCTGGAGTAGGGAGGGAAGAGGGTTGGTAGGAGCTGGGGCTGAGAGGTCTGCAGGCCAGATCTCGTTGGCATGTTAAAATTTTCCCACAAAGACACAGTTTCATGGTCAAGGAACTTTGGCATGCGCTATGTGTGTTAAAGCAAAATGGATTCCTCTCCTGCAGGACTTCTCAGAGCCTTTAATGCTCTAACATGCATTGCACATCTTCAAAGGCAAGGCCTGCCATGCAGTGTTTCCAAAACCCACTGGGCCACAGAGCCCCATTTTTGCAGAGGCCCCATGGACCAAGTGCTTTGTGGAACACACTTCGGGAAAGTGCCGAGACCATAGAGGGGAAAGGCCACTGGGGCCATGCGGCACGTTAATGGCACAGCAGGGGCTGGTGGTTCCTTGTTCCTGTCCCCGGGGCAGACTGGAGCAGGGTCTGGACCCCACCCCTGAGTGATGGGAGCTTCGATGGGGGAGTCAGGGAAGGCAGCTCTGCCTTCCAGCCGCCCTGCACCCCAGTCCCACGTTTGCGACATGGACAGCGAGCCCTCCCGCTCTGTCTGCTCCCACCCCCCCTGAGCGGGGGAGACCACGGTTTCCCACTTCCCAACCTGCAGCACATGACGTCATCTCTCTGCGCCTCGGTTTCCTTGTCTTTAAATTGGGGATAACAAGGGGAGGTTGCGGTGAGGCCTCAGGCAGACGGAGCACGGTGTGCTTTGTCTGGATTTTCTGGAGTCGGGCAGGAAGTCGGTGCTGTCAGCTGTGGGTAGCAGGTGTGCCCCACAGTTGGGAGGTGAAGTGACCTGCCTGGAGGGGACCCTGGAGTGATGTCCCTCCACGGGTTGGGGTGCCCAGCCCTGGCAGTAGAGGGGGTGGACTCTCGGGTGTCAGGGGAGCCTCAGAGCGAGCTGTGCCCACGTCTGGAAAGGGACGGGCTCCCGGGAGCCTTGGGTTCTGGTCCTTCCTCCGCCTTTATGCTGGGCAGCCTCAGTTTTCTCATCTGTGTGATGGGGGCGTTGGGCCTGATGACCTCTGGTGCCCTTCATCCTTCCTTGGGCCTCAGTTTCCTCGTCTGCGGAGTGGGAGAGCAGGCCTGGCTTGTTGGTCTCAGGGGTGTTGGCCAGTGGTCACGCTGGGCCACCTCCTGCTCTGGGCTGCTGGGGCCCCGCGCTGGTCACGCGCCGAGGACGGCGTCGGCGGTGCTTGGGGCGCCCGGCAGCCGGGGCAGCCAGCTCCCCCGTCACATCCCACACCCGTCCCCGCAGAATGTGGCGGAAAGAACTTCCACTTCGTGCACCGCTCGGCGGACGTGGACAGCGTGGTGAGCGGGACGCTGCGCTCCGCCTTCGAGTACGGCGGCCAGAAGTGCTCGGCCTGCTCGCGCCTGTACGTGCCGCGGTCGCTGTGGCCGCAGATCAAGGCGCGGCTGCTGGAGGAGCACGGCCGCATCCGAGTGGGCGACGTGAGTGCGCCCGCCCGGGGGGCTGATGGGGTCGGGTCCTAGGCGCCCGCGCAGCTGGGCTGGGGTGCACGGGGAGGGGCGCCCTTCCTCTCTGCGGGGACTCATCTCTGCCGGCGTCTCCCTTGCCTGCAGCCTGCAGAGGATTTTGGGACCTTCTTCTCAGCGGTGATTGATGCCAAGGTACGCGCAGGAGGAAGGGCAGGGCATTCCCGGGGCGAGCGCTGGGCTGGGAGGGAGAGGAGGAGAACCCGGCCCACCCAGGAGCCACCCAGCCCCCCTGCTCTGATCAAGGCAGCCCGACGGGCGCACGCACCCCCCAATTCGCAAAGGGCGGCATCGCGCCTGACCGGGAAAGGGCTCATTTCCCACACGCCCTGGAACCAGGCTCGCAGGCCCCTCGTAAGTGCACATGTGTGTGCACCGGCGGGCCCATGTGTGTGCATGCATAAACCCAAGAACATGCGCACATGTGCATGCATGTCTGTGAACACATTCGTGTCGATCTCTATAGCCACTCATGTAGGTCTGCCACACGAACACGCACATATCCGTGCACACATGGGCTCACACATGTCTTCGTGAACAAGCCTGCCTGCATGCGGGCTCATGTGTAAGGCATACAGATGCCTACATGCTTAAACATAAAGATACATGGCCATGCATGTGCCTAGCTATACATTATCTATGCGTGTGTATATTTATATGTGATTACTCCTGTGGTTCTGCCACGTGGACACATACATGAGCATGCATTTCTGCCCTTGTCTCTGCCGTGGCTCAGCCAGACCCTGGCTTTTTAAAAAAATTTTTTTGTGTGTGTACAGATGGGATCTTGCTGTGTTGGCCAGGCTGGTCTCAAACTCCTGGCCTTGGGCAATCCTCCTTGTAATCCCAAAGTGCTGGGATTACAGATGGGAGCCACTGCACCCCAGACCCCAGCTTTTACCCTTGGGGTTCCCCCACCCTATCCCCCCATTTTAGAAGTTGGGCCCTTCGAGTGCAGGTGTTTCAGGGTGACTGTGTTGGGGGCTGCTGCTGGGAATGACCTCCCAGCCTGCCTTTGTCCCCTCCCCGCCCACCCCAGTCCTTCGGCCGCATCAAGAAGTGGCTGGAGCACGCCCGCTCCTCGCCCAGCCTCAGCGTCCTGGCCGGCGGCAGGTGCGACGACTCCGTGGGCTACTTCGTGGAGCCCTGCATCGTGGAGAGCAAGGACCCGCAGGAGCCCATCATGAAGGAGGTGGCTGGGGCGGGCAGTGGTCTCACCTGCGCGCAGCACGCGCACGGGGCCCTCGCACAGTGGTTTCTTCTCGAGCCATCACCCCATTTCACAGATGAGGAAGGTGGGGCCCTAAAAGGGAGGGAGCAGAGCCAGGTCTCGAGCGCAGGCCTCCTGACTCCAGGTCCAGTGCTCTGTCCTCGACCCTGGCCAGGGTCCTGGCACTCCCACTGCCCACAGCCACGAGGCCACCACAGTGATTGTAACAGCAACGGCTGACATCATGGGCTCATGGGTGGGCCGTGCTGGGCACTGGGCGGAGATGAGGTGTGTGGCACTGGTTCTGTTTTATAGATGAGAAACAGGCTCCGGAGAGCCAGGCACCTGCCCAGGTGGCCGTACAGGGCGGGGCAGGGGGTACCAGAGAGCGAGGTCTTCCCCCAGCCCCTTGGTGGCAGAGGGACCACGGACCCCCCTGGAGGAAGGGGCGACACTGGGCGATCTCATGCTAGCTGCTTGCCAGAGACCTCCCCTTCTCAGGGGCCCCTTTGTTCTCCAGGTTGGGCTTGGCGGGAGGGCCGGAAAGCTGTTGGGTCTTTTGCCAGGTTGCAGTGGGGTGGGCAGGGAGCTGGCCCACGGCTGTCCTGGAGGGTCCCCGGAGCAGGCAGCATCTGGCCCCTTGCAGGGGGGCCAGAGCAGGGCTGCCGGGGGTCAGAGCAGCAGCCCGGTGGAGGCCTGACCCGAGGCTGTCTCCCAGGAGATCTTCGGGCCTGTGCTCACTGTGTACGTGTACCCGGATGACAAGTACAAGGAGACGCTGCGGCTGGTCGACAGCACCACCAGCTACGGCCTCACGGGGGCAGTGTTCTCCCAGGATAAGTGAGTGGCCAGCCGCAGCTGGGAGCCCAGAGTCCTGTCCTGTCCCTGCCGCCCTCGGCCCCGTCCCCACCTCCTGGCCGTGGATCCTAGTAATGACGCTGCCCTGCAGCCCCCGTCCCCTCCCCGTGCCCCTGACAGGCCCAGCCTGGCAGCGGGTCTTCGTCGCAAACCCAGGTGCCAGGGCGCCACTGGGGACTGCTGAGTCCGAACCTCTGGGGCGGGCCCGGGAATCGGGCTTTTGACCGGCTCCCCGGATCTCATGGGCTCCCACGGAGTGAGGTGGCGGCCCCGCGCTGCAGAGTGGAAATAAGGCAGGGGCTCACGCTGGTCTTGCAGAGGCAGGATCGGAACCTGGGTCCCTCTGGTGGTGCTAAACCGGAAGCTCTGCCTTCTCCTTGCTCCCCGGCACTAGCTGCCGCCCCGAGTCTGCCTCCACGAGAGAGGAGGTGGGCTTGGGGCCCGGGGGAAGCGTGGGGTCTGGCGGTGCCCCTGCTCCCGAGAGGCAGGACAGTTGGACCGGGAGGGGCCACACCTCAGGCACGGCCTGAGCCTCTGTCCTCGCATGTGACGGGCCAGCCCCTGTCTGGGGGAGGCGGCCGAGGCCCGGAGACCGAGGAGCCTGTGCGAGGGCCCACAGCTGGCGGCCGGCTAGCACCCCGTCCCAGGCCGGTCTCGCGCTTGCCCTGGAGAGCCGGCGCGGCTGGGGCGGGGGTGCCGGAGGTCGGGTCCCGGGCTAGAGGCGGGGACGGGCTGGCTGCCCTCTCACCACGCCTGCCTTTGACAGGGACGTCATCCGGGAGGCCACGCAGGTGCTGAGGAACGCTGCCGGCAACTTCTACATCAACGACAAGTCCACCGGCTCGGTGGTGGGCCAGCAGCCCTTTGGGGGGTCTCGAGCCTCTGGTGAGCGGGTCCTTCTTCCCACCCTTCCCGGCGGGAGCCGTGTTCCTGGCGGGAGACCCTGGATCCTTCCTCTCCAGGGGGTTCAGAGTAACAGGAACAGCACCATTTACTGAGCACTCTCTGTGGGCCAAGCGAACGTACCGTGCCTCTTCCCATTTTAGAGGGGGAAACTGAGGCACAAGGGTCAGTGACTTGCTCAAGGCCACATGGCTGGGAGGTAGTGGGGTTGCGACTACCCCAGCGTCACATAAGTCCAACACCTTCCACCTCACAAATGGGGAAACTGAGGCTTGGAAGGGGCAACGACTCGCCAGAAGTTGTGCTCCCGAGTGCGAGCCGGGGCTGCACCCAGGTGTGTGGGGGTTCCTGCACCAGCCGATTCTGCAGTTCTTGCAGGCACCAGCGGGGTGTCCTGCAGTTTACTCGGTTCCACCAGGCCTAGGGGCAGGCAGGCCCCACAGGTCAAGGACTCAGTCCTGCGAGATTGCCACCCCCCAGACGCCAGTCGCAGGCGGTGGGTCCCCAGCCCACCCACAACCTCTGAGCAATTTGGCTGCAAATCGGGGGCTCCACACGGCCCCTCCTCGGGCTGGATGGTGTGTTAGGACGGCTCACAGAACCCGGGGAACCGTGCCTGCCCTTGTGGATTTGGTGCGGGGGCATCTCAAGGGGAACAGAGGAGCCGCCAGGTGAAGAGACACGCAGGGCGAGGTCTGTCCCCTCGGAGCTGGGGGTGCCGCCCTCCTGGCACGTGTGCCTGTCACCGCCGGGGAAGCGCCCAAACCCTGTGCTTTCGGGTTTTGCGGGGCCTCGCTGCACAGGCGTGGCCGATGGAATGGCCGGCCATCGGTGATCTGCCCAACCTCCAGCCCCTGCCCTCCCCGGGGCTGAGGCTGCAACCTCTAACGACAACGTTGGCCCCTCTGCCAGCCAGCCCCGTCCTGAAGCAGCCACGGCACCGGCGTAACTTTGGGGGTGGTAGGAGGGCCTCTCCCGAGCCCTCACCCCCACCGCTCGGGAAGCCCGAGAGCGTTAGGGGCTCTGCCGGGAGTGGGGTGAAGACCAGGCGTGCGTTTCCTAGGTGTCCCCGTGTCTCGAAGGCCTTGAGACCCGTCCAGCGCCTTCCCCAGGTGGCACCTGCCTGCCAGGCACCCTTGCTGGGTGGCCCAGCTGCCCAGCACATGTCACAGCAGTTGGGGCAGTCCCCTGGCTGTCCCTCCGACTCTGACGTGCGCCCACGCCACGCCGGGCGCCTCCCTGGGGCCGGCCGCCGCCCGTGCCCTGTCTGTCCTCAGCTCCTCCCCCGCCTCCGGCCGGACGGGTTCGTCGCCCCAGAACAGCGGAACTGTCTTTCCACAGGGACCAACGACAAGCCGGGCGGCCCCCACTACATCCTGCGCTGGACGTCGCCCCAGGTCATCAAGGAGACCCACAAGCCCCTGGGGGACTGGCGCTACTCGTACATGCAGTGAGCCTGAGGGCCCCCGCCGTCCAGCGTCCGTCCAGCATCCGTCCGTCCAGATGACTGGCCTCGCCGCACTGCCCGCAGCCCTCCCCATCCTCTAGGGCCAGGCTCCACTCCCTCCCCGGGGCTCCACTCCCTCCCCGGGGCTCCACTCCCTCCCCGCCGCCGTCCTGTGTCCTGGCCTGTCCCGCCCCTCCGTGTCGGATGTCCGCGCTCTGGTTTGAGGTCACCTTGGGGAGGACAGGGCCACGACCCCTTATCCCATTGGTCAGTCTGGAAATTCCACCTGGGAGGTGTGACCTCTCGGGCTGGCAGGTTCTCCCCGCTCACTCCGCTGGGGCCCCGTTGCTCAGGGGCCTGGGGGTGGAGACGGAGCAGCTCGTGGTATCCTCCGGGGAAAAGGAGGCAGCTCTGGCCCTTGGCGAACCTCACCACCCAGAGCCTCCTGGCCTTGGCCCCGGGTGTCCAAGTGCCCAGGGTGTCCAGGTGTCCCAGGGTGTCCTGGTGTCCAAGTGCCCAGGGTGTCTAGGTGTCCCAGGGTGTCCAGGTGTCCCAGGGTGTCCAAGTGCCCAGGGTGTCCAGGTGTCCCAGGGTGTCCTGGTGTCCCAGGGTGTCCTGGTGTCCAAGTGCCCAGGGTGGCCCATGGGACACAGGCAGCACCTTACCTGTGCCCAACCATCCGCCTTAGCAGGCACCTGTGCCCAGCTGTGTGCCTTAGACACCGGCATGCCTTTCTCCAGGTGCCTATGGTTACCTGAGGCCACGTGATTCCTGGCCTGCTCCATGTGGCAGGGGGCCGGGGAGGTCACTTGTTACGGTCCTTCCCCGAGACCGGGCCATGGGTTCCCGTCGGCCTGGGCCGAGGATGTTGCCTACAGACTCTTCCCTCCTTAGTGTGCCGGGGCCCTGTGTGGGCTGGCCCTGCAGTGGCTGGATTCTGGGGCTCAGGGGTCTGTGAGGCAAGACTTTCAGGGATGGCTGTCAGGGGACTGTGGAAGTGCTGGGACCACCCCAAGGACAGCTGCACGGGTCCTGCACAGAGCTGGCGAGGCTGTTCCCCAGGTGCCACTGTTTCACACCATGGCCCGTGGTTGGGGGCGGGCGCCAGGGCCGCCGGGCCAGGTGTGGGTCCTGCCCCGTGAGGTGGCGGCAGCATTCACCTGGATGCCAGCCAATAAAATCCGTGTTACGTAGTCAACGTCGGTGGTCTTTCCTGGGGCGGGGCAGCCGATGTCATCTCAGCCTGTTGGCATTGCCGTGCGTTGCTAGGTAGCGGGTGCAGCACCCTCAACTTGACGGAAGGAGGGGTGGGCACGGTGTTTGGAGTCCCTGCTGGAGGTGGCAGGAGCTCTGGAGCCTGATGGGCGGGTTCAAGCCCTGGCCCACTGCCTCTCAGCTGGGCGATCTCCAAAACCTTATGCAGCATCTCTGACCTGTCTCTTCATCTGTAAAATGGGGACAACCCCCCTGCCACACACACATACAGGTTATAATGAGAATTGAATTAATTCACATAAGTGCTTAGAATAGTGCCAGACGTATAATTTTTCAAAAATGGTACCCATTTATCGTTGTTGTAACAACCATCATCATGTGCTGTGATGGTTAATTTTATGTGTCAACTTGGCTGGGCATGGTACCCAGATATTTGGCCAAACATTCTGGGTGTTTCTGTGAGGGTGTTTTTGGAGGAGATTAACACTGAAATCAGTGGACTTGAAAAAGTAAAGCAGATGGCCCTTCACAGTGTGGGTGGGCCTGGTCCAATCAGTTGAAGGCCTTCACAGCGTGAAGAATGAGCCTCCCAAAGCTGGAAGGAATTCTGCCAGCGGTCTGCCCTTGGACTTGAACTTCAACTCTTTCCTGGGTCTCCAGCCTACTGTGCAGATTTGGGGTGTAATGAGCCTCCATAATCACATGAGCCAATTCCTTAGAATCTCTCACCCTTGCTCTCTCTGCAACGAATCTTATTCCGTTCCTCTGGAGGACCCTGCCTAATATGTGTGCCAAGGACTCTGCATGTTTCCTCACAACAGCCTGATGAAGTAAGTACTGCCATGCTCCCATTTTGCAGATGAGAAAACTGAGGTACTAGGAGGTCAAGGGACTTCCCAAGGGTGTGGTATTATTGGGATATAAACCCAGGTCTGTCTGATTCCAAGAACCATCCTCTCCCTCACCCAGACATCCACACCTGTGCCGAACTGCCTCGGGGAGGCCTGTTCAGCCGACCAGGTGACTTGGAGGGGAGCCACTGGCCAGCTAGCTTGAGCCAAGAATCTTGAGCCCAAGCACATGAGGCCAGCTGACTTGGAGGGAGAAAAATGCGTGTCCCGGCCTGTCTCCACCTGCAGAGAACGAGCAAGGGCTGTTTCCCAAGCCCCAGCAGAGGCAGCGCCCCGGGTGCCGCAGGCTGGAGTCCCCGGAAGGGAAGGGTGGCACCTGCATTTGTCGTCGAGGGACCTGGAGGCTCGTTCGAGTGTTTGAATGGACGGTGTGACTCACATTAGCAGAATGGACTAATTACCGGCTAAGAGCTTCACCTGCCTAGTTTCATAGAGCTCGGCAGGGACCTCACCAGGTCACTGTGGCCACTGAGGTCGGAGGTGGGATGAGGAGCCAAGGCCATGCAGCTGGTAGCAGGAAGGCCGGGTTTGTACCCGGGTCTGTGGGTGCCCCCGGCCTGTGCCCCTCGGCACCTGCCCTGATGGGTCCTCACCTTCCGAGCTCCTCTCCCACGGACGTTTCGTCCTGCCCTGTCCCAACCTGGCCCTCGGCCTCCTTTCTCCCTAGGGCCAGGGTGACTCGCAGCCGAGCTTGCTCTCCCCCTCTGCTCTCCCTGGTCCCCCAGACTCGGGGCCGGCAGCCCTCGAGGGCCCCGTGCCTGCTTGGGGAGCCGGGGCCTCTTTGCACGGTCACCACAGTCAGTCCCCGTGTCTGCGGCAGCCCAAGGAGCCCCTTCATTTCCCTGCTGTGGCCGGGGCCCCACCACAGCCCAGGGCTGGGCGCGTGAACCATTTGACTGGGGCCGGACGTCCTGGCCGGTGCGGCCCGCGGCTGCCAGCCGAGCGTGCACGCTAAGGAAATGAGGGGCCACCTGTGCCGGCGCCTGGCCACCAGGCCGGCCGGGAGCCCCCGAGTGCCAGAGGGAGTGGCGGGATGCAGACCACCCTCTTCCGGGAGTCGCCTCTCAGTGGCACTAGTTCACCCACCCACCATTCGTCACCACGATCCCTGCGTGCTCTGAAACGGCGACAGCCACCGTCGCTGGCACACAGCCTGTGTGCTGGGCACTGTGCCAAATGCCACGGACATCCCAGCCTCAGGTCCTCGTAGCGCCCCTAGTTTGCAGATGAGGAAACTGAGGCACTGAGAGGTCGAGTGACGAGTACAGCAGTAGGAAATGAGTCCCACGTCTCTGACCGCCCAGCCTTGGGCTGGAGCCGCGGCTGCACAGCCCCGGAGCCAGACAGGCCTGGGCTCCGACCCCTACCTGCCCCCAGCCCAGCCTCAGCCCCCTCCGGGTCAAATGAAGCGTCTTCGAGCAGGGTGCCGTGTCCCTTGTCCTGCCGCAGTGAGGTGCGCCCGAGGGAAATGTTAACTTTGTGTTTTCAGTCTTAACCCCGCTTCGTGCTGGCTGCGTGTGCATGGGAAAGCGGGAGCCAACCTGCTCGCGGCCAGGTGTTCCCGCCGGCCACCGCGGCCCCCGCCAGCCTGTGGGGAGGTGGTATTTTATACCCATTTCATGGATGAGGAACTGAGGCCCGGGGAGGTGGAGAGAGACCTGCCCAGTTATGGGCAGGGCAAGAGCAAGGCTTGTCCCTGACGGCCGCACCCGCACCCCTGGTCCTGGGTCCTCACGGGAGCCCAGCAGCCTCCTGGGTGCCCCTGGGGGGGGAGGGGCACTGCTGGTGCTGCGGTTCCGAGCACAACCAGCCAGCCTTGTCCCCCTTGCACAGGTCCCTGGCAGCCACCCTGGATAGTAGAGCAGGTGCCGCCTGGCACTCCGGTGCCCCAGGGACGGCAGAAGGCTGTCCCAGGCCTGTGCCCGCTGGCGTCCGCTGGGCACCTGCTCCGGGCATGCGCGGGCAGCCGTTGGGAGCTCAGGGAGGCTCAGCGAGGGGGATGCCTGGGGGAGGCGGCACAGCAAGTGGCAGAGCCCGGACTGCAACCCCGGTAGGCCAGACCAGAGACTCAAGAGTCACGCAGAGTCACAGAGCCCAGGCTTTTACTGGGGCTAAAGCTGAGGGTCCCCTGCCGTGCCAGGCCAGCAGCACTGCAGGGCAATCCCTGCTGCCGTCTACTGAGCAGGCGAGACAGGCCATCCGCGTTGAATCACTGTTTGCAGGCGAGCAAGCCGGGAGCAGTCGAAGCCCACTGGTTGGCCCCTGTCCCCTGGGCCAGGCGGGGCCCTCCGGAGCCCCACAGCGCCAACCGGACCACTCCCTGTCCCCAGCTCAGCCCCTGGCGCCCCAGCACGGGCTCCTTGAACCTCTTCCTCCCCAGGCTGAACACCCCACTCCCTGCAGCTGCTCCCCGCCCCCCCCCAGTTTCCAGCTCTGTCCACCTGTGACCTTCCGGTGGTCCCAAGGAGTGCAGTCTACAGTTGTTCCGGGCTGGGGTCCTGGCTGTGCGACCTTGGCTGAATCACATCACCTCTCTGAGCCTCCTTGTCTTGCGCGAAATGGGGATGTAATGAGAGTGCTCACCCCTGCAGTTGTGAGGAGGACTGAGCGATCGAACGCATGAAAATGCACTTAGCGCTGAGCCTGGTGGCCAGGAAGAGGGCAGTCAGCACGAGCCACTACCTTTACAGCCATCCTCCCAAGCGAGGTCCGATCACCACATCCCATGGCAGGACTGTCGCCTCCCTTGTTTTGGACGGTCTGCTCCTCTTGATATAACCTTAAATTTAAGATGGCTTATACTAATGCAATGGAATGAGCTCTGGAGTGCAACAAAACTGGGTCCAAATCCCAGTCACCCTGGGCAAGCCATTGAACCTCCTGAGCCTTGGTTTCCTCACCTGTACAATGGGGATAAAAATCCTTCACAGACCCCTGGTGCGCAGGTGCAGAGATGCTTGACAGCATTACAGAAGCTCCATAAAGGTCGCTTTCCTTTCCTTTTTAGGCTCTAGTGACCATCACCCCTTTGGCTCTGACTGAGCTTGTGGTCATTTGAAACCCCCAGACCTTTCTCTGGTTGGGACTCCACCTGTTCAACGTCGCCCAGCAAAGTTTGCTGAGGGGGCCGGAGTGCGTCTCTGGGCCCGAGAGGGTGTCCCAACCTCAGCAGGGTCCCCTCCTCAGGCCTTAGCTGGCCCCTGGGCTCCCAGCCGCTGGCAGGGCTGATGAGGCGCTGGGGCGGCCCCTCCCCCAGACCTCGCCGGGGAGGCCCTGTGCCCACCCCCACCCGAGCCAGCCTGGAGGTCTGTTCCCAGCAGGTCTTGTCCCCAGTGGGGAGCGCTGGAGGGGGAGAGAGAAGGGTGGGGGCAGAGACGTGAGTGGAGATGAGCACGTGGGTAGAGACAGGTCAGGGCAGGGTCAGCCCCCCAACCGCAGGGCCGCCCAGCCCACAGGCCCGCTCGGCTCCGTGGGCACCGGGGCGGGCAGAGGCCGAGGCCAACGGGCGGCGGCTTCTGGGCTTGCCGCTCCCACGAGGCTCCCGCTCCCCCACCCGCGTCCTTTGCATGTCGGCCACGCCGCCACACAGGAATGAGCACGGGGCTCGGGCCCAGGACCGGGCGTGAGGGTGGCGGGTCCGTCGGGCCGGGGCTGCGTTTGGCCCCCAGGGCACACGCTGTGAGTGTGGCACTGAGGAGAGTCGGGGGACGCGGCGTCCCGGGCGTTTGTCCTCAGGGCGGCGTCCCTGTGCCCCTCCCGGGCAATCGCAGCGATCGCCTCAGCCCGGGGCTCTCTGCCGAGCTCCAAGCGCTGCGGCACCTTGGATTCCCGCACACGGCTGCGTCCGTGGAGCGTGTGTCCGTGCGCGGGGCCCGTGTCACAATCTCGGATCGGCCCTTGCCCCACCGATGTTGAGAAGCGTTGAGCCCACTGCACAGATGGGGAGACTGAGGCCCGGAGAATGGAAGTGACTTGCTCAAGGGCAGCCTGCCGGTTGGGGCAGGGCTAGGCCAGACACCACCAGGACCTCGACCCTCTAGCTTAGCGCCGCTGCTTCAGATTTTGTTCCTCA